TGTCCTTGTTACTGCTCACATGAGATCTGAGTCTAATTCTCACCAGTATCATGACAAAAACTCCTGTGAATTTCAGTGGAAATTTAATTACTTATTTCCCTGCTCAACTTAACTTCTTTTAGACCAGCTTCTTTTCTGGTAGGAAAAATATGGACTTTTCACCACCTGAAACAACTGCCTGGGACCTGTTTCTTCCCACCCAAACTCCATGGCTACAAGTCCATGCTTCTTGCACTTCAAGGTCACTGTGGAGAGGGTTTATACTTGTTATTCCATTTAATGTCTCTGACTTTGAAATGATTATGGGGTCTCCTCTGAATGCTTTATGGGGTAACAAAACTCAGAAGAATAGGGCTCACTCCAGCTGAGTAAATAGAAGCTATTTTCATAAATCTTGAGACTATTGGAACATCAACAACATTATCCTGTGTGGGTTGTTATGACTTTGTGTTTGCAGATTTGCATGTTAAAGCTCAGGCTTGTGCTTTCAGCCTTGTCTTCTATTACAGTAGAAACTTCAGGTAGCCCCAGAGAGGATTCTCCAGTCCAATGACCTCTCAGAGCCCCTCTTGAAGCTTTCTGTAGCCAGCCTGGGTGGAGATCACACTGCTTTGATCACCTCCTTTTCCTTGGAGGGAGCCCATCAAACTGCCAGGGAACCAGGAACAATAATTTCCAGTGATTTTGGGTGAGATCAGCTCCCAGGTACATTCATGGCTCATGTGTGGATCCTCACCAAGGGTTCCCAGCTCAGGGGCAGCCCTGGGCCTGCTCTGGAGCTCTCACACCTGGGCTGCATCCGTGGGCTCAGCATGGACTGTCATTCCTGGTGATTGCTGCTCTTCAAACCCACAGCTGGGGGAAGTGCCTGTGGAGATGGTGTTTTTCTTCCAAATTCAGCAACTTTTTTTTTTTATTCTTCACAGTTTGCAAGTTGTTTGTAGCCAAAACTCACACAGCCCTGCTCGGTTTGTTTTCCATCTACTTTATTCTTACTCACAAGCTTAAAAAAAATCAGCTAATAAAACCAAAGTGTTCTGCTGGAGTTCATTATTTGGGCTGAAACACCTTCCCTTCTGTTTGACTGCCCATGGGAGGAGATGGTGAGAACCTCTGCAATCTTCCCAAGCAGGGAGGCAGAAATGGAAAGAGGAAATATGGAGCAGTTTTTCAGTTGATACAAATGGACACAACCCCCTTGTTTTCTGTAGAGCTTTCCTGCTTTTGCCAGCTGAAGATCCATGGCTGAGCTATCTCACAGGTGCTGGTGATGAGCCACTGATAATGCCACAACAACCTGCTGGAACACACAGAGCTCCCTAGGCAACCCTACTGTGCACCTCAAAACCCAGCTGGGTGGAGGTACAAGCAGATGTAACATTCCTGGTGTACTCAGGAGCACCCACAAGTACTTTAATCAAAGCTTAAACCTTGAATAATACAAAGGATGACTGATGCCCCCATTAGTTTTGCATCCTCTCCGCTTGTTGATTGTTCAGAAAACCACAAGTTCATTTACAGACAGTGCTGTTAGGTCTTGTGAAGATTGTGGGTCATCCAGCTTTTTCCAGGCAATGGAAAAACTTGGAAGAGTAAGGAATTATTTCCTGAACTAATGATGCTCCCATTGAAAAGCTTGGAGGGAATGGCAAGCAGAGAGGAGGACACTGCAAGGCAGAGAAAACAAGGAAATCCTTACCTAGACACCTCTTTTTAAAAAATATTTATTTGTAGTGTGTATTTCAACTTACCAAAGTCAGTGCCATTAAGAACAAAAAAGTGATAATTATACCAAATAACATGAACAGTCAAAATGAGTTCTGTGGTTAAAGGAGATCTGTAAACCCAATCCAGAGCAGGCTGGTAAATCTGACACAAGTATGGAGGAAGCAGAGTACACATGGAAAGGAATATATGAACTAAATCCAGAGAAATTAAACAGAACAGAAGAATTTCCCCTGCATCTTATGGACTAAGATCTGATTTGCAGTCTAGAGCTCAATCAGAAATATGTGGCACAGTCAAAGTGACACAGCAAAGCCAGACGCACAGTGTCAACTCGTTGAACCAGGACACAGTGTGTGAAATGGTAAAAAGAAAATGTCAGAGTCTACCTGTGCTCCCACACACACCCACAGTTGTTCTGCACCTGCACTTTGAGACTCTTAGTACAATAAGATTATAACAATGTTGAATCTTCATTGCATTGCATTGAATAGACTGAAAATCTTGAAGCACCATGACATAAATTTCTTCAGCAGAAATTGTGCCCCCATGACCTCAGCTTCTTCTTTCTGAGTTTGCATCAGCAGAAAGGGGGAAATTAAATGCACATAACTCCAGGAATGACCAATCTGATGTTGACAGAGGACACTCTGACAGCCCATTCCCACTTCTTTCCGTGCTGTGGGTATTTATTACCAGGACCTAGTGGTTTACATTCAGAATTTTTAGGTCTAATCCCCTTGGTGGTCCATGACAGTAATCCCTGGAAAGGGCCCTCCATGGCCTGCCTGCCTTCCACCCCCCCTCCTGTAATGTTAGTTGCTTACTGTGCCCAGACTTCACCTTCAGGATAAGAAGTTACTTTCTTCCATATTCTTCTGTACTCACCCAAAATTTCCCTCAAAGTTTTATACCTGAGTGTATTTATCTACCTTTTGTTCTTCCTCTAAGATCCCAGTTTCACATCAACTTAGAACAACAGTTCTTGCAATTAGGTTGGATGACTGCAGTCCAAAATTTTTCCTAGGCAAGACTCCAATAGAGTTAATTGGCTTCAGTGGGAGACTTGTCCTGAGTAGGAAAGGCAAAGTTTTGGCCTCAAGGAGACTATAAATTCCAGTTTAAAAATCAGTAGTTGTTCAGAGGCTCACTCCTGTGACAACATCATCCTTTGTGTTTCCTTTCCTAAATTCCTTTCCTAGTCATAGGAGGAAAGCTTCTGGCACCAAAATCAGATGATAATACCCTGGCCACCTCCCAAAGCCCGTTAGATCTCGAAGAAAGCGCCGTTGTCTCTCCCAAGGAAGTGCAAATCCTCCAAGACGCCGGATTTCCACGTTTTGTTAGGAAAGTGTTTTTCACTCAGGCAATAAACGGGCCCCGATAACAACTGTGCCCCTGCCAAACTCTGCAGTTGCCTTGCATGTTGCCATCAGTGCCTAAACTCCCCATAATCCCCCCTGCAGTATTTAAGGTGCTCTCCTCATCCATGCAGGAAGGGCACTGGTGGCCAAGGCTGCTCACAGGGTTCTGCCCACTCAGCCCAAGTGGCACCACTGAACCACAAGCACCAGCACAGGGGTCCTTTTCTACCACCACACATCTCCCTTCCTTCTCAGAAGCTGTAGCCCATGTCTCTTCCTCAGTGTAATTCCCTTTGTGGTAAAACATGCACATTTGGGTCCAAAATGGTCAAAATACAAGTAAAAATGTAGACACTAAAAAAAAAGCCTCTGCACCAAAGCCTTCCTACAGCTTCTTGTAACTGCATGAAACCAACTTCTTTCTTCATATCTTGAGATCCCAAACATTTCCCATTCTCTCAATGCTTCAGTCACTGAATGACATCCCACTTGCCAAGGAAACCTTGGGAAAACAAGTCAGTCCTGCAACACTTCCTGTAGGTCACCAATTCCTGCAGGAGGGGAACGGAGCCGCTCTGACCCGAGCGCTCTGCCTGAGGCTGCTCTGGGAGCGCTCCCCTGGCCTCCATCAAACTACTGGATTTAGCTCCCCAGATGATCTCAGCTACTGTAGAACCACATGCAGAGCCTCTCACCTCCCAAACTTATGACACAAATCCTTTATGACCCTGTGAGCTAATGCAGAGGGAAATGGGACCGGCACCACCCTGTTTACAAGGCCTGTGCTCTCCATGGAGAGCCCCAGGACTGAAAATGCTGCTGCAGCCCCACTTGTGTTAGAACAGAAGTGCAGATTTAGGATAGAGGCACTTTGAGCTGTTAACCACTGGTTACAGCACAAACACCCTGTGGCTGAAATCACATACATCCAAATTTGGGTCTAGCTGATGTGATTCCCCATTTTATAAAAGAGTAGAGATAGAAATACAGATCCTGGTATCAAAGAACCCTCAGCAGTGACAGTGTGACATCCTGTGCCAGTCCTGTGCTCCCCAGTGCCCAGGTACCTGCAGTGAACACTCCAGAACCACAAATCAGAGCTTGGTGGCCTCACTCCAGAGAAAGCAGCATCCAAAGCTGTGAGACAAGGTCACAAGAAGGGAATGGATGAGATTTGGCTTTAACTTTCTGGTCTGAAGATGAGTGAGGAGCAGAGGGTGTTTTTCCCAATTCCCAATTCCCATTTTCTCTCCCCTCTGCACCTTCTGTTCTAACACTGGGCCAAAATGACTGAAAGACATTTGAGAAGCCTGGAGCTCAATGGAGAATTGGGGCTGAGTTTTGGGGTTTTAACAGTGACTTCCTTGACACAATATTTCAGCTCTCTATCACTTCAGAGAAAGACTATATTTCTAAACTGAAGCCAACCCTTCACAGACAAGTAATTTGAATTCCTCCATGTTCGCTTCCCCTGGCCTCCAGGAAATGAAATATAAGTCAGAAAAATACCCATTTTGATGAGGGTTTAAACTGAAAAGTACAGATAAAATGCCAGTCACTGTACAGCACTATCAAATTTTTCCCACACTGAGTAATTCTGGTTCCTAATGGAGCTTACACTACCTACCTACCACAAAACATCTGTGACTTAAATTGTTTGATGAAATATATCTTATATCAGATTGAAAAACAACATTAGAATCAACGGGACACTAAATTACTTGACTCTCTTGAGCTTTGCCCTTGTGGAGCACTGTCAGTCAGCGTGTCCAAACATCTTTCCACACACTCCACAACGATTCTGAAAGTGGGTCATTAACACATTTTGTCACGTTATGCAATTTCTCCCTCCCCTCCAAACTGGGCTTTTCTCCAGGCCCAGTAGCCAACAATAAATCAATCACAGTCTCTCACAAGCCTTTTGACTTAAATCCTGTCCTGTAGGTTGGGCTGAAACCAGAGCAGGAATCGCTGCAGGAGGTGAGGCAGGACAGGGCTAGTGGTGACTGCTGCTCAGGAGGTGTTTGCCTGACCCACTGCTGTTCTTGGTACCACTCTTTGTGGACTCCTCTTCAGTGTCTGTAAGAGAATCTTCCTCCTCTTCATCACTCCGATCATCTTTCAAGTCCTAGGGAGAAGAAAGCACTGTGAACATATTTTACTGCCCCCCAGAAACACACCCTGCCCCCAAAATGGAGGCTGACATCCAAGGGGAGATCAATTAGCAGCACTTTCATTCTGCAGAACCAAATGTTCTTTAGACAAAACTGTTTCCATGACCTCAGCCCAGCCACTTGACCTCTTCTTGTTCATTTCTGCTTTTCCCTGTAAAGTGTGGCCATTAATCCCTGGGTGCTGTGGGATTAATTAACAGCTGTGAAGTGCAGGGAAGATGAAAAGAATATTGTTTAAAAGCTAAATATGATGAATACACTCACCCAAACACAGGAGCTGAGAGGCTGCCTGCTTCTGACAGGTGTAAACTAAACAGTGATGAGTTGTGCCAGCATCTCCTGGCACCAGCTTTGCTCAAAGACACTTGCTGACCCTAAAATGCTCTTTCCTGCTCAGTGGTATACACAGCACATGAACACTGGCATGGGGGAGGCTGTGTCTGTACAGCTGTTGTGCATTTTGGGTCCATCACCCTGCTGAGGGAAGTGCCCAGGGGAGAATGGCAGCTCCAGGAGCAGGGATGGAAGGGGTCAGCAAGGCAGGAAAATGCCCTCAGGAAAATCCCTCCCCAGCTCCATAGGGACAGCTCCTAGCATTTGGCAGTCATGCTTCATCTCAGACAGTCAAAAATGGAAACAGTGAATATTTCCACCACAGAGAGAAAAGTCATCACATCTACCCCGTGTTTCAGGGAGAGGTGAGACCATGCTGTGCTGTTTGTCATGGCACATAAAAACCCACACCATTAGTTTCTTATTTCTCAACTCCTGCCATAACCCAATGCCCTAAAATGTCTTCAGAAGTCTGTTTCAAGCGATCGAGGCTTCAGCATTAAACCCAAACACTCCTATTTTCCCTTCAGTGCAACAAGCTCACAAGAGCAACACCTGCCTGGAGGACTTTCCACACCAGTAGGTGACCTGCTCCACAGACTCAGGATAGGATGCTCTAGAGAGAGATGTTGTACATCCAGAAAACACTTCCTCCTTCCTAATTCCTGAGAACAGGCACCACTTTTTGTGTCTCTTTGTACTGCAGGATGCTGGGGCTTCTCCTCATGACACAGCTCTGCCTCCCAAGCCTGTGCTGGAGCTGGCAGGAATTCAGCACAGACAATCCCCTGCCTGCACAGCCATACAGGGACCACTCCAGCATGGAGAAATCTGCTCTCATGCCATCCATCTGCACCTCAGCTACACAGGCAGAGGCTGCTTGTGCTCCCTGGGATGTGCCAAGGTCAGAGCAGTGACACAGAGAGGAGAAACCAGGGCTGTTCCTGCCCCTCCTGTATCTGCTCTTGGAATGAACCAACAATTCCACTTCCTTAGCGTGCTGCTCTGAGGTCTTTCTGAAGCACCAAATTCTTACAGAGAAAATAAATAACAGCCCAGTAATAACTCATCCAATTGCAATCTCATATCCCTTCATATATTACGCTCCTAGTAAAAGTAGAGGGCTAGAAAGCAAATTAAAGACTGAGCTCTGGCTCATCACAAACTATAAACTTCCTGGAGATTTTCTTTTGCTTTTTCCCTAACAACTTACAAAGGGTATCAAAACAAACAAATCTTACTGTAAATACTGTAAAATAAACTTGGCATGCCATCAGTTAGAGAAAAGGCAAGACAGCCTTTCCCACACAATTTATGAGGTTCTGGCTCTTTCAGATCACCTCACTCCCTCCTGGTATTTTTGCCATTTGTATCTGCAGTAAAAGACAAATGCTGAGGGGGTGGAGGGAAGATTGTTGCTTTTCTGCCACCAGAAATGTTTCAGAAAGAAAAGCAAACTAATCCTAAGCAGTGTCTGATGCCAAATCCACTGCACACCCTGGAAGTGCTCTCATCTCCCTGAGGCTGCACTGTGGGCAGTGACAGGAGCAGCACTTTGGGACTCCCTGGGAATAATGTCAGGGAAGTTTGTGGTATTTCATTTGGAGTCCCTCCTTGCGCTGCACACAAGTTGCTGGTGCTCAGGCATGTGCTTAAGAACAGCTGGCAAACTGCTCTGCTTTGAATGATGGCCAGATTGTGATATTGATTCCTGTTTCCTATAGGAATGAGCTGGCATTTCCAGTATGGAACTGGAATCTCAGAGTTGCCTTCCCACTTTTAATGCTGTCAAGCTGGATGCTCTGATTAAAGGCACTATATGTAGTAATTAAAAAACATGTCATATTTTTTTCCAGCTCACTGCAAATCCCTGCCTTTGAGAGAACATCTTACAGATTTCAAAGCAGCAGAATTAAATTTCTTCATATTCTGAAGTAATCACTGCAAATTTTCTTAATTCTGGGAAAGAGTGTTACTTCTGAAATTCTGATATTAATCAAGAAAAAATGCTGCTAAATTAAATCTAATTTTTATTAGATTTTGTAAAAATAAACTTGCTTCCTGACCAAGTGCCTCTACAAATTCCTGCTTTAGGAGAGTCTGGCCATTTTTGTCTGGCTTGTTTAAGTGACAGAACTTGAAATAGCAATAGCTTCATCTGTAACTGGAAATCCAAACAAACCTGTCTTTGCAAACTGTTTAACAGACCATTATAAATATATTAGGATATCCTAAGTGAAGTTTGTGCCTCTTAACTTTGACCTTCTAATAATAACAAAAGTTGTAACATTTGTAGGATTTCCCCCGCTTTAATACCAAGATGTTTTCTCTGAGCCCCTCACATCATATATTTTACTCATGTTTTCCAGCTCAAAGGCTCTCTCTGACTGTCCCTGAGCAGCAGCAGATGAATACACTATCAGGAACACAAGAGCTGGCAAACCGTAAATACCACAGCTGAGGCCATCATTAATACTCAATGCTTTAGTTTAATGGCATCAAATGCATTTCTTATACTTCAGCTGGTTTTGGGTAACAGACAAAATGGATGTGTACATTTTCTGTTCTGGATGACTAACCAATTTCATCTTTCTAAATGGATGAATGGTTTCAAGGTTTATGAGAAGCAACACTAATGCTATAAAGTCTGCAAGAGAGCCATTTGTAGTGAAGCCAAAGCTACAAACTTTTATACTCTTTTTTTCCTTTTGTTTAACCCTTCCACCTGCTGCTCAGTCTGCCTCTTTTAGTTAAATGAACCGTATTTGTTAAGGTAGTTTTGGCTTCTTGCATTTCACTGCTGTTAGAACATGTGTCATTGAAGCCATCAGCACTAGATGAACAGTAAAGGGCCCTCGAAGCAAAGTTGGTCACACTGCAGCCAGGGCTCCCTATCTGCCACAGCAGGGTAGTTCAAGTGCAAAGTGTATGAGCAGAGGCAAAGACAGTGCCAGGCAGTATTTAAAAAGGCAAAAATAAACTATAGAAATGCAGATTGATCCTACAAACAGAGAGGAAACCTTAGCAACGTGCCTCTGCTTTCTCAGAAGGGGAATGGCCCTTGCTGGCAAATGTCAGTTCCTGGGAGGATGGGGAGGCCTGGCACAGGTGCCCAGAGGGATCTCTGGAAGTGTCCAAAGCCAGGACAGGCTGGGAGCAGCCTGGGACAGTGGAAGGTGTCCCTGCCCATGGCAGTGGTGGGCTGGGATGGGCTTTAAGGTCCTTTCCAACCCAAACCATTCCATGATTCCAGCTGTGTCCATGTGAGTGGTGGGAGATGGTCCAGGCCTAACTCACCTGGTGGGATCAACACTGACTCCAGGCTTCTCAGCAGCATCAGAAGATTTCAATTTGGCCAAAACTGGACAAGACTAGCACCAATTAATTTTTTGGGCTAAGCATAGATTACATCCACAAAGTTAACTGGATTTCTCCTACCAAGTACTGACGTGTCAAAGCAATTCAGAGCTGATTGCAGAATTTTGTTTTCTAATCTGGTGAAATTCTGATTTCTGGACTTTCAAATACTTATTCTTAACATTTAGTTGGAATTTTCTGACTCTTAAATGTATCTTCTATTAAAATGAGAAGCTTATACCTTAAATCTACCTTAAAAATATTTTCATTTGAACATCCACAAACACATTGACTAGATCTTGATTTTTCAATGTAAAGACAGTAAATTCCACAGCACCTGCACATATGGAAACAGCTTGAAGTACAAAGATGAAAGCTATTAGTCAGGTCAGCAACCACTGCCTCAAATAAAAGAGATAATAAACAAGAGAGATTATAAAAAGTCAGTCCAAATAGATAGAAGGGGGTACTTTTCTAACAAATAATACTATAAAGTTGATGGATCTCTGAGTTCAACATGTTGAATTCAACATCAATAATTCAACTCAGCTGACATATGACTTAATAAGTCTTTACTTTCCTATTGAGACTAAGCAATATACATTTGGACTCTAGCAAACTCTTCTGTATTTCCAGCCTGGAAGATTTTATTGGAAAATACATTTCCCTTTTCAGCTCATACACACTAGGCAACATAAATAATGTTTATCTTCCATGGAAGATGCACAGTTGGATTTTGCTTTCTGCAGTTTAAAATGAAGATGCAGACTCTCTAAGTTAATTGTATTGGACATCTTGTGGTAAAAAGTCCTCTTATTTGATCTATCTCTTCTATGTAATATCCAGTCCCCAAGCTTTCCACTGACAGTTTTCAGAGGGAACTCAAAGAAGACTTGTAAAAAATTAAAAGTTCCACTAATTCCACAATTATTGGAAAGAATAACTTTATAAAACTAAATGTTTCTACTTGAACACGTCCCTGATTTTGACTGACGGGATAAATTTAACCCCACGAAAACGTGGCTGGTGGTGTCCCTGAGCACAGCACACCTGGAGCTGGGGCTGAGTGCCCTGAGTGCTCTGAAGAACCAAGGCATTGTTTGCAGCTAATCAGGCTCTGTGCTGCTCAGAGTCTGCTGGCTGAGTTATTGAAATGCACTGAGTGAACCTCGCACGCGGCCTGCGGGGCTTTGCGATAATGTCAAAGGCCCAGGAGGTACCGGGTGACTCATAATGTCCCACTGCTTTCTGAATTATTCCAGTT